AGTAATTCATTTCAGCAAAGTAAAATTAAATGAGCATTGGAGGTACCTTTTGAAATAGTTAGTGCTGGGGACCACTGTGATCGTAGAATATCAAGACAAATGCTGCCATTACTGTTAATATTTGGATGATAGATTCTTGTGGTAAATGCAACCTGTAGAAGAAGGAAAAGTTCAGTGGAGGTTTGACAAATAGACATCACACCACATGGTCTGGAGAGATTTCTGGGAGAAGCCACTCACCTTAGGTGGTTTGAAGGGATAATCTGTTGGGAAGTGAATTGTCAAGAAAAATACTCCACCTTGATAGGGACTGTCGTTCTGTTAATGAAAGAGAAGCATTGCAGCTTGAATTGTTACCAGACAACTAGTCAGGAAAAGCCATGAGCATCAATTCTCTCATACTTACTGGTCCCATTATTGTAGCTTGCCAATGGAACACTGAAAAAGAGAGAGATTTACTTCAGTTTGGAGAAACCCAAGTCATGATCTACTTTCTTCCAGAAAAAGCAGCACAGAAAAAAGTCTATTTTAAAAACAAAGCCTTCTGCAAGGCCCCAGGGAAGGGAGCCAAGGAGCTACACACAGGCAGAGAGAGCACTTGGTGCCCCACACTCTGGGATGGCTGTGGTACCACACCTGTGCCCTGCAAAAAATCTCGTTCCCATCAAAATCCAAACAGTTCTAGGAAACTCATCAGACTCAAAATCATGGAGTTTAAACTTTGTAGTTTCTAAGGAAGCAACTGAATCAAAGCCCAGTTTTCAGGACTGCCCTCTTCAAGCAGGATACAGCTACAGTCCAGCACAAACTCAGACCTGCCCTAGACTCACACCCTCAGTCACACAGAGTACACCCAAGCTCTGGGTATACCACACACACACAGAGGTAACCCCCAAGCCAGTGGTGTCCTCACTAAACATTTAAGCTTAGTCTCCAGAGGCCTCAAGATTTCATTAAAGCAGCAGAAAGCACTGTCTTAAGAGAACACAGGACTGAGCCTGATCCTACTTGCAATCAGGATGTGCTAGGACACACTTCAGGTTAAAAGGACAGAAGTTAATCCTCACTCATACACATCTGTCCCAGAGGACATTAATCTGTAACACAGAGGATTGGTGAAGAATGTTGTTGTGCTGCAGAACATAAGGAAAACAATCAAAGCTGATCATCTGTCTGAGGCACATCAGGGAGTTCTCAGTGATCCTGTGTCTCCAAAGGCTCCAATGCCTATGCAAACAGCACCAGCCTAACGAATTCTTTGGGAAACAGACCATAGAAGGGGTGACAGCTATATGGTACCCAGAACTGTACAAGAGACTTCAGTTGTTGAAGGGAAGACTGAAGCCACCTGCAGCTCTGGGTTTTGCTGGAAACTGGTGTCTACAGCTGCCAAGCCTGCCTGGGTCAAAAGCAGGAGTGGTACTACCTGCTCTAATCTAGCAGGAACAGTTTTTAATGACACATGGTACAGGAATTGCAGCTGGGAATGAGATCATACAAGGAAGGAGGAAAAAAGCAGAGTGGGAAGAGCCCTGCAAGGCCAGGGGAAGAGAGTGTTGGGTAGGAGCAGGTTTGTCTTCATGTAGTCCTGTATTTCTGTAGCAATGTGAAAGTTCCTACACACCTCAGCATTGCTGAAGAGTTCAGAAATGATCCAGGAAGATCTTGGCATCTATTATTTTTGCCTTTTAGAACAGATACCTGAGCTCTCAGCACACAGATGGAGAGCATCCCTACTTAAACTTCCCCCTCAGCAGCTTGGATGCACCAGTTAGGTTTTGAGAAGCTCTACATTCAGTGCAGAGTCACAGCAGCTCATGTGTTCTTCTGTAGCATTCACCCATTTTCAAAGGGTTCACACAGCTTCCCAGAAAGTCCCTATCACCTGCAGCAGGACAGGAAGACACTTGGAGCAGAGGACAAAGGGGCAGCAGAAAGCCCACAGGGGAGATTTTGGCCAGTCATGGTAAAACCACCACAAATCTCATAGGCACCAGGAGATGCTGATGAGATTCACTGTGATTGCACTGAGCACACAGAGGCACTGCTGAAAACAAACTCAAATAACCAAATTTTTGTCTTAACCCAACAAGAAACCAGAAAGAAAACGTTTTCACAGTGGATCTTAACTTTTTGAGAGCCAGAAGTAGAGGTTGTTTTCTCCCCTCCAACTCCCACCCCAGACTCAAGCAAAGTGCTTGTTTAGCCTAAGCTTTAGATCCTCACAACATCCAGGACAAGTTGATTGAACAAAAGATGGATTTGTCATGCAGAGCTTATTCCACTTGATTCTTTCCTTTGAAATCAGCCATATGAAGGTATTTACAAAGTAAGGAGGCTGCTGTCTTCAAGTAGGTAGGCACAGGTACATGTTTGGAAGTAGCTGAGCCACTGGAAGCAAATGAATGCCATCCAGTCCCATGAATATTTCCAAAACAGAGGTCAGAGGTGGGTGGAAAAGGGCTAAAACTACACTGCCAGGAAAATCACACCCCTACAGCTAACAAGGCAGCACCAGCTCTTCACTTTCCAAAGCTTATGAACAACAGGGACAAGAAGCTTATAGCTGGGGATGGTCTCAGGTGGAGGAGCCACAGGATAGCACTTTGCCAGCACAGCATATCCTGAACTCCAGGAAATGTCACCCTGACAAGAGAGCTGAGGCACAGCTGGAGCACAGGGAACTGGGAGAAGGCACCTTTCTGTGGCTGCCACTGCTATCCACTTACACACACACAAATCGTTGCTCTCAACAACAAGTCTTTCATTAGAGGCCTTTCACAAAGGTGCCATGAGGGGAGCAACTGAATAGGCCTTTAAAGCTTTCTATACTCCGTACTAACTTTCCATTCTAAGGCTTCACCAACTTCTGTTACCACCTCCTCTGCCAGACAATAGTCATCACCTTTGATAAGGCTTTGGAAACAACAAAGTAACTGTATCATGGCACAAATCACACTTGCTAATTTAAAGGAATAAAAGCCTCAGCCTGACTCTCCATCTTAAGTCATTTCTCTTCCATGAAATACTAGTTGGAAAGCAGAAGTAAGTGTGAAATAACTAGAAGCTTTGACCTTACCACTAAACACCCTCAAAAACAAGCTGAGCTTTCATTTGTTTCAAAGTGCTACTGAACAGTAACATCCCCACTAATTTCAGTATTTTCACTCTCGGGTTTCAAGTGCCTTTTTTTTAAAAAAAAAAAAAAATCAAGCCCTACACATTTCTATAGGAATGTGGAAGTTCCTATACACTTTGGCACTGCTGAATCATCCAGAAATAATTCAGAAAGACCTTGGCAACTAATTTTCTCCTTTCAAAAAGGTACCTGAGCTCAGAGCTCTCAGCACACAGAGAGTTTCCCTGCTTAAAAATCCCCTCTCACGAGCTTGGATGCTTTGCTGACAGCAGAGACCACACTGCACAGCAAGCTCAGTGCGTGCTGCTCAGTGGGCAGTCACAGCTTCCAAGGGTTC